AGATGCGTGTGTGTATATATGGAAACTAGATGTTAATCAACCCAAAAAATTATTCCTTAAATTTAAATAATTAATAGCGCTCACAATACGATGATCACACTTGAATATGTAATAATAAATAATTGGCGGTGATTAAATTTCTTGAAATGATTCAAATAATATTTTAAAGCTTTGTGGAGTTATACAAATCCAGCATAAAGCGTAGCTTTCATTAAAAAAAAAAAACAAAAAACAAGGTTATTATGGTTACAATGTGTGCATGTTTTTCGCTGTGGTTGCTACGCAGTTTAAAAGGTCCACTCATCTTCATCCACACGTTGAACAGCATTCCATTTTGTATTTCAGGTACTGACAGTTCCCTCTTGATTTAAGCAACTGACATCGCGTGTATGGCATTTTGTCTCCTGTACATCTTTCCTGAGGCCCTAACATAACCACAGAAAAAGATAGAATAGGACAACCGTCAGTATAGAAAGTTTAATAAAAAATCTCTGGTTATAAATGCTGTGACCAACAACACTATCACCTTGTTATAATATAAGCACTTACTAAATAATAACAATATAGGCATACAGTAATAGTATTGAGGTAATCAGGAAAGATACAATATTTAATTTTGGTATTTTAAATTTTACTGATTGATTGATAAAAAATATAATGTATTTTTCAAAGAGTAAAAGTAGCATTACCTACTGAACCGGATACAATTGGACAGGGATGACTTGAACACGAGTTAATAGTATCTGGTTTGTCTTTTTTGAAACAACTATTATCTGTTTCATTTGTTGCCAAGTTGATGCAATCTACTGTTCGTTCAGATATGCCTTCACCACATGAAACGGAACACTAGAGTGAAATAGAAAATGCATGTTACATTATTTAAAAAAAACTTCAATAAATAAATTTGTTTTCACATAATACGGTATGTGAGAGTTTATTTATGTTTAAAATCTATTTAAAACCATTTACTCTTCCCTTACCTCTTGCCATTCCCCTACGCGCCATACGATTTTGTCAGGGTTCCGATATGGTACAACTGTATCTTCTTCAACAGTCTTAAACAATTTTTCAACTTCTTCTTTCCTACTTGGTAGCAAATGTCGTTGCATAGCTTCATCTGAATCAACGGGGGCCATTAATGCTGCGTTATCAATTGCCAATACAATGTCTTCATCAGTTTGTCGCTCTGGGTGATTTTTGTTACGTGTCACTAATTTTTGCAAAAACTTTTGTTGTTGATCAGTAGACTGCTTGTTTAGACGTTCCCATTCCCCAAATGTTACAGGTATTTTATCTGACTGCTGGTTTATAAAGTATTGATCACTTTGCCCTCCATCTTCTATTTCTAAATTTTCATAATCGTTTGATTCACTAACATGTGATACAACCTCACAATGGTTGCTACATTCGCGTACACTTTCTGGTCGCTCGGAAACTTCGCAGAATTTCCTGGAGTTGCATACAACAATACGGTGCTGAGTTCCGACTCCACAGTAGCTGGAACACTATAAACGAAAAGGATTACTATTATTGTTATCATTACCATTATCATCAAAATGTTCATGTGTAATTTCTTTTTATATTTTTAATTTTCGAAAAGTTTCACATGGTTTGCTTATTATGATTCTATAGACTAGGCCCTATTCGTTATACTTTAAGTTGCCTTGCTCTGGTCCATTTTCTAAGGTCATTTCGCATAAGATTAATTCATTAACAAAAAAGTTTTGTAATTATTTAAACGTTCAACTACTTTTTACCTCTCATCTACAGTTAGGGTTCAGTAGATTCTTTAAAATGCAATGTCATGATGTTTTTCAAATAGCTATGGTCCAAATCCTCTTTATTTACAATACAATGTATCGCAGTTATTCACTTT